TTTTAGTCTGAATTCTCTGATGTTGTATGTCTCCTAATTCAAATCTCTTCCTTTTAGAGATTATTTTATAAGTCTTGTCACCTTTCATGAGTGATCAGCTCCTGCAGATTTCTCTTTTTTCACTCAATCTCCTATTCCCCTTCCTTGTTTACAGATGGTGCAGTATTCACTATACTTTGGAGTATTAACTGGTAGTAGGACTTTTCCTGGTCTCCTGCTTGCTCTCACTTTAGCCTCCCTTCAGTTCTCTGTGGAATGCAGTTGGGCTGATTGCAGAGATTTACTTACTTGTCTTGGCTGTTTAATTTTGAGGTGGTGGTGGGGCTTGAACCCAAGTGCTTCTTCAGGTTAGGTAGGTGCTATGCCACTGCACTACATTCCCAGCCCAGAAAATAATCTTAATAGATTGAAATAGTCTAGAGTCAGTAAATTAATGTTGTGGCCACTGGCCACCACAGTGTAGAATCAGCTGGGGGAAGAAAAGATAGATCCGTCTGTCCTGGAGCCTTTGAAAAATATCTTAATCTTTTAATTGTTAGGGAAACATTTTAATATAGACTTATGAGTTCCTGTGGAGAAGAAAAGAAGAGCTCGGTATGGTGTTTAGCAGGAAGATATATTTATTAGTTAGGAGTTTTGCTTTCCTAGAAGAGAAAAAACAAAAAAGGAGGCAAAGGGAGGGATTTCTTGAAAAGTTAATGGGTAATGAGTTTCAGTAAATTCTTGAGGTATTTCAGCAAAGTAGATTTAAGTTGTGAATATGTGTTTTATTTAGGAAAAATATTTTATAGAGAGAAATTTATTTGAAGTTGAAAATCTCATAAGTATCTGTTTAGAATAATTTCATTTTCATATTGAAAACTAAGATTTGTTTTCTCTTTTCCTCTACTGAGTACATTATTAAGAAAATCATTTTTATTAGCAAATTTTTAGTTGATCGCCTCGTGACCTGTTTTCCTAAATTCTATATACTTTTTAGGGAAGCGTTTTCTGTTTTTGTTTTCATCAAATAGTTGTACTCCAACAAAAAAAAAAAATGGGTCCTCGAGTTCTAGAGGCTCTTTTAAAAATTGGCATATAGCATAGTATCACATTAATTGTGTCTTTCGATCTAACTTTAATACTTGTGAAAGTTTAAATACAATGTGTACATAATTTGTCAGTTTATGGGACTTAATTCCTGTCTCATAACTTAGTATCATAGTCTTTGAAGCCCCTCATAATTTTCCTTCTTATCTGGCTATCCTATTAATGTGTGTTTTCTTGGATACCATGATTATTAAACCAAATGAATAGGGGAGGAAAGGAATCCTTGTGTATAAGGTAATCTGAATTCATAAAATTATAAATTTTGTGATTATAAATTTTATAATTATAAATTAGTGGGTAGTTATTAACCTATTTTGTCCCTTGGTCCCAGGTGTGAAGCACTTATAAAAACAAATATTGTATGTAATTTGTTAGTATAATAATTATGATATAATAATATAAATAAAATGTGTAAAGTCTAGATTATGGTCTCCAGCCTGTTTTTATGTACACTGGTGTTGATTTCATTGAAATATTCACATAATTTGACAACTTGGGATTTCATGTGTTAAACTGTAAAGAAAAGCTGGGCCTTGTTCGCACACACTTGTAATACCAGTACCTTGGAAGGCTGAGGCAAGGATCTTGCAATTTAGTGAGGCCCAGTCTCAATAAAATGGGCTAGGTGTTTAAATACCCTTGAGTCCAATCCCTGTTCTCCACCTGCCCCCCCCCAAAAAAAAAAAAAAAAAAACCTTCAAAGAAAGAGAAAAAATTTTAACTTGAAATGTAAAGTATAAGGCTTATTTCAGTTTTACATTTTTTGGTATTAGTTAAATTAATATGGGAAATCTTATACAATTTTTAGATAAATTTTAGAAAGCATTTGGAGATATATATGAATGTATGTATGTATGTTTGTTTTTGGTGGTAGTGGTGGAGATGGAACCCAAGGCCTCACATGTGTTAGGCAAGCACTATTTTGGTAAGCTACATCTTCCCCAGACCCATCTTTTAAATTTTATTTTGAAGCAGTCTTGCTAAGTTGCTCAAGCTGCCCTTGAACTTGGTATGCTCCTGCCTGAGCTTCTGAGTAGCTGGGGTTATAGGCCTGCACCAGTATACTTGGCCATTTCTCCTTGTTTAACCTCAAATTTCCCTTCCCTTTTTAAACTTCATTCCCCATTTGAAAACAAATTAGAGAAAGGAGGAAAAAAGTTTTCATACAGGTAGCTTCTAATGATCTTCTTCACCAGGCTCTTTTATAATTGTGGTAACATTTACATACCATATAATTTGTTCACTTACTAGAGTGAGCTTGTTAGATCACATATCAGCTCACCCATTAATCTTTTGAGGAACTGCCCAGGTATGTTCCAAAGCAGTGCCACATCCCCAGCAACAATGTATGACATTCCAGTTTCTTCACTTTGTCACGAAAACATGTGTTCATCTCTTGTTATAGCCCCTCTGGGGGTTGTAATTGGTATCTCATTGTACAGTGTTTATGATTTGCATTGCATCCTAATAGATAACAGTGCTGAATATCTTTTCATATGCTTCATACATAACTACTTTAGAGAAATGCCTAATCAATTTTTTGCCTGTTTCAAGACTTTTATTGTAAACATACATACCATAAATTTTATTGATGTAACCACAGTGTTGTTTTGCCATCCATAGCAGCCATTTCCAGAATGTTTTCATCCACCCAAACAGAAACTGGTCCATTGTTCTCATGCTTTTGGTGCTACTTTTACGTCAACACTTATTGCTTTTAGAAGATTTGGGGAATATATCAGGAACTTTCCAAGCTCATGGTGAAGAATAAAAATTTCCCAGACTTTTAATTTCCCAGACTTTGAGTTTCTGGCTTAGAAATTTAAGTTTTATTGTTCACAATGAATCTTGTCAGTTTCTCTTGAAATGGCAAGCTCACTTCAGTCGGTGCTTTTTGAGAAACCCATACACACATCCTCATTTGAAGAAGCACTGGCTTTGTGGTAGTTCTTCCATGTAGAAATGGCCTTCTGTGAAAAAGAGCAGGTAGCTTAGATGGTCCTCTTGTACAGAGTTGTTTCCCAAGACCTCCATGCAACTTTGGTAGGTAGTGTGCACATATGCACTGTGTGTGCATTTATGATTTTGATGCATAGAATACTAAAAAGATGCGTATTCAATGAAATTAGTTTTTCTTTGTTACATTTTTAAATGAAACCCTTTTTTTCCCCCCTTAATTAACACTATGAGGACTGGGGATACGGCTCAGTTGATAGAGTGCTTGCCTTGCATGTACAAGGCCCTGGGTTCAATCCCCAGCACCACACACACATAATAATAATAATAATAATAATAATAATAATAATAATAATAATAATAATAATTAACACAATGAATTTGTGGTAAAGAGTACAATGAGTACTACCACTAGTTCAGTCTTGTTCCCTGTCTTGGTTGATGCTAAATTGACATCACCTTTACCCCCACCCTTTCTTGGCACCATCAGCACAGATGTCAACCTACTCCTCCATCTATACCCAAAGGTCACAGCCACATCAGTGTTTATAGCAGCCCAATTTACAATAGCTAAACCTAGATTGTCCATCAATAGATGAATGGGTAGAGAAACTGTAGTATATATACACAATGGAATATTACTCAGCATTAAAAGAATAAAAGTATGACATTTTCAGCCAGGTGGATGGGGTTAAGAATATTATGCTAAGTGAAATAAGCCAATCCCTAAAAAACAAAGGCCAGTGTTCTCTCTGATACGTGGATGCTGATGCATAATGGTGGGGGCGGATGGGAAGAATGGGGGAACTTTGGGTTGGGCAAAGGGGAGGGGAGGGGAAATGGGACTAGGAAAGATGGTGGAATGAGAGGGACATCATTATTCTAGGTACATGTATGACTGTACATCACGGTGTAACTGTACATCGTGTACAGCCAGAGAAATGAGAAGCTGTGCTCCGTTCGTGTACAGTGATTTACAGTGCATTCTGCTGTCATGGGTAACCAGTTGGAACAGTAAAAAGAACTGGGGAAAAATACATAGTGGGAAAGCAACTCTTTTTCTTAACAGCTGTAGTGTTGATTTCTTGGACCACATTTTGGAAACTGCTGTCCTAGTGTTTGTTGGGGTGCTGGATGGGACAGAAGTGTCATAGGTTAGCAGCATTGCCGTTACTTCTGTGTAATCAGTGTAAGAAATGGATCTGCTGATGGTGGTGCTGTCTGCTTGGGGAAATAGGGACACCCCTGACTTGGCATCCCCTGGGATTTAGGTATTCATACAGGAGTCACCATAAAACTCCCTCTTTTATTAGTATTGAAGTTTGAGGGGGGAAAAGAATTAAAAAGTGCTTATGTTAATTCTGTATATTAACAATAAAAAATCAATATAGGTAATAATGTATTTTTACTAAGTCACACTGAGTGAGTGGATATCAATGATGTAAACATATATCATGACAAATGAGCCTGAAAATATTCACTACAAAGAAATGAAAAAATAAAACTTGTTATTTAACAGTTTAAAGACTAGAAACCTTTAAATGGGAGCATTATTGTTGGATGCTGTGAGATTATGGTATAAATTACTTTCTGACCTGTCTTAAGTGGAGTAGTTGTACCTCCCTGCTTGCTTTTGTTTTGGGAGAGTCAAAATCAAACTTCAAATACTCAAAAAACCTAACACCCTGTTGGCTTTCTTCCAGAGTTAGTGCATTTCAAAATTCTTACACGGATTTTGGTTTTGTTTGGTCAGAGGAGTTGGGGAATTGTGTAGAATAGGATATGAGCTTGTGAGCATGTTGATCATGCTTGATGCATGCTTTTGAGCAAAGTCATTCCCAGTAATACTTTCATTTGAATTTCATTCAGTTAGTGTATTCTGGGTTTATGCTTTGCACTCCAAGAATTTTGAAGTTACATGGTGTTATATATTTTGTTTCCTGTTTTGCTTATAGGATTCAATGGTCTCAATTTAAAGGCTATTTTATTTTCAAACTGGAGAAAGTGATGGATGATTTCAGAACTTCAGCTCCTGAACCAAGAGGTCCTCCTAATCCTAATGTCGAATATATTCCCTTTGATGAAATGAAGGAAAGAATTCTGAAAATTGTCACTGGATTTAATGGGTATGCACTTAATATTATTTTAAAGGTTTCATTTTTAGCAGGACTTAATTTTGTTTTCTTCTAGTTTTGATATGTCATAATTTTATAATTGATTATATATTAGAATTCTATGTCTCTAGCAACTGATAGTAAGTAGTTGGGGATTTTTAGCTTACAGGTACTGAAAATGCTTACAGCCTTAAAGTATTTTTTAACCAATTTTTTAATGAATATTAGTTAATTAGGTATAACACAATGGAAATATTTATTTATCAGGAAATGGTTTCATGTTTTTTTCTTTACCATAGTATATTTGGAATTAAAAGTCTGTATACATAGTACAGAACTTGTGTATCATTAAGAGAAGCCACATTTTTTAAAAATGAAAAATATCAATTTATAAAGTTATTCTACTTATCAGTTTTTATTTGGTAATTTTTGAGTCCTTTCTCTTTCCTAGCAAGTAATCATTTTTAGTCTTTTGTAAAACATTAAAAACCCTGACGACACAGGCACTAACTAAAATAAAGGTGATCTTTTTAAAAATAATGCTGAGTCTCATATTCTGTCATTTTAAATTCTTTCCTTTTAGAACTTCATATTTTCAGGTTTTCCTTTATTGAGGGGAGGAAGTGTATGTTAATTTGAATTGTGCTGTATTTTGTCTGATGTGAACAAGGTGGAGTGTGGAATGACAATACTAAGTGTAATAAATTGTATTTCTGCTAACCATTAAATGATTTAGAGGTAGGTTTTATTTGAATGGTTTTGATTGTAATTTTAGATAACATAAATAGCTTGAATTACATGGAATTTTAAGTAAGAAAGTGTAATTTTTTGACTAAATGTCATGTAACTTAATTTTTTAAGTTGTAGGAATCTTGCTTTAAATGTCTGACGCTTATTCATTGACTTTGGGGCTAGCAGGTGTCATGGCTTTGTCTTTGAGGTTTGTGGTCTAGCCTTTGCCTCAGGGCTGAGACTGAGCACCCTTATGTCCTGTTGAAATTGTGTAATCATGTGTTTCCTTACCAGTTTGAATTAAAACTGTTTTTCTTAAAAGTACATATCTAGAAGAAGCCATATTCTATGTATTAGATACGTTGCATGAGATTTATTATTGAACTGTAATGTGTTCAAGATAAGAATATTTTTGAGATATTTGTAAATACAAATAAAAAGTATTTAGACATTATAGTGACTTTTCTTTTGAATAAATTGTGGCTACTATGAATAAGACGTAAAGTGAAACAAGTCAAATTATACCACAGCTTTGTGAATAGAATACTAAGTTAATTTACTTGTGATTCTGAATTAGTAATAGCAAATATCATTTTTAATACTTTAAAATGAAGTTGGATGAGATGCCGTATGTAGATTATTCAGTAATCTAAATATTTATAGTTTCTTAGTTGTAAAACAAGCAGTTCATCTACTTCAGAAAATGATTTGAACAGTCATTAAATTCCTAAGCATACTTAAACATAATTGCTTTTAAAACTTTTTTCAACTTTGAGCTGAGTATTTTGAACCTAAATTTTTTAAATTCTCTTTTTCAGGATGACAGTTTATGACTTGTTTACCCTAATCAAGTAGAAATTAAGTCTTAATCAGTAATAGGTTAAGAACTGTCACTTTATATTTACTTTGTGTTATATTAAAACATGTCTATAAGCTTTTCAATTTAATTTAACTTATAAGTTAATTTTTAAAAAATACTTAAGAAACATTTGGTTCTTTTTAAAACACTTTGAGGGTGTCCTTTGTATTTGTAATAGGTTAAGTTTGAAATTACAGAAGTGGTATATGTTCATACTTTTAAATAGATCCCCAATGTCGTAGAAGTAGATACCCAAAGAAAAAAATCTAATGAAATCATGTTACATGCTAGTTGTAGTTTCCTTTTGGAAGAGTTTTGCTATCTTCTTTATAATCAGTACAACTTCTGTGTACTTAATTGAAGGGACTGCATTGTTTTCCCTCATAGCAACAAGGCCACAGTTTACTCACCCCGTCCCTGTTGGTGGTGGGCATTTATATTTTGACCTTAATGAGCAATGCTTACAGTGAACATTCTTATTCATGTCTTTTGTTGGTGAATGTCACGTACTGAATATATCTATATGATTATTGGTATTTGTGACTTATATTATAATTGTTAGATAAGATCATGTACTCAGTTAAAATTTAATTTATCAGTAAAATCATGGCATTTGCAGGTGAGTAGATGGAGCTGGAGAATATAGTGCTAAGTAAAATTAGCCAATCCCCAAAAAACAAATGCTGAATGATTTTTCTGATTAAAGGATGCTAATTCATAATATGCTGCAGGGAGGGGGGATGGGAGGATTAAATGAACTCTAGAGGGAAAAGGGGAGAGATTGGAAGGGAGGGGGCACAGGGTAGGAAAGATTGGAATGCCATGGTCATCATTACCCTAAGTACGTATGAAGACACGAAGGATGTGACTCTACTTTGTGTACAACCAGAGACATGAAGAATTATGCGCTATATGTGTAATATGAATTGTAATGCATCCTGTTGTCATATATAATAAATTAAAATTTTAGAAGTTTTTCTTAGTACTCTAAGAAAATCTAAGTACTCTACCTCACAATGTGTTCATTTATGCTTCCATGAGTATTAAATGCAGATATTGGAATTCTGGGTATGTTTTTGTACTTGTTCCTTTGGTTGTAGGTGTAACTACCTTTTTATGTGCTAGTAGCTCTTTTATGAATTGCTCTTTCATAATCCCTTTTTTCTTTTGCTGATTCTTATTTTTAAGTTTGTTTTATTATTTTGTTTTTGCCTTTAGTTTGTAAAGGCACTATATTAAATTCTTCATAGTATTTGGCCACAAAAAGCTTATCCATTACTCAAAATTACTTTAGTACAGTGTCAGATAAAAATTTTTTCCTCTTTGCCAGTAGGTTTTCCAATTTCCTGTTTGCTGGTGTGGTAGGTTCCTGGAGGAAGGGGCTAGCACCTTCCAGGGGAGGCCTGGGAGAGTGAGTACCCAAGCCTAGTCCTTACTCAACAGATAGGTATAGGAAGGAAGGGTTCTGTTTGTATTTGGTTTTATAGGACATTGAATAATTACACAAACAAATGCTTAAGTTCTTTTAATTTTAAAGTCATTGTTTTGTCCTTTTAAAATACTTTTGAAACTGGGTGTGGTGATGCAAGTGTATAATCCTAGCAGCTTGGGAAGCAGGAGGATCAAAGCCAGTCTCAGCAAAGGCGAGGCGCTAAGCTACTCAGTGAGGCTAAATAAAATACAAAATAGGGCTGGGGATGTGGGTCAGTCAGTGGTCGAGTGCCCCTGGGTTCAATCCCCAGTCGCCCCTCCTCCAATTACTTTTGAACTTTGAAATATTATAGGAAAAGATGGATTATAGCTACTCCCCAGAACTGAAGTTACTGCTTTTTAGGCAAGAAACACCAAAAATTAAAATAAACAAAATGAACATTTTTACTGGAATGGTCAGTTACAAGATCTTTATTGCCTCTTTTTGCCCTCTGCTTGGAGCAATGAGGAGGAAGAGAGGGCACATTGACTCAGACCAAGGCCACGCCCCCTGAAACTCTTCCCCTCAGACATCATGTGTGTAATTTAGGAACTAACTGCTGGTAGCTAATCGTTCAGAAAGGGGTTTTGAAGGGTAGAGAAAGTAACTCACAGTCCTGGCAGTTAAACCATCTTCAAGTTATTTGGAAGGGAGAATGATGAATGTGAGTTAACCTGTTAAATCCTGCTCTCAGTTGACACTGCTCTTTCAGCTGTGATCTTTCTAAAATGTTTCACCTGAGTGGCAAACAGAAATGGTGTCGCTGTGTGTTTAGGAGAGTGTGGGAAAGTTGCCCAGTGTGTGTGTCCAGTCGACTTCCAGATTTCTTTTCTAGTTATTCTAATGTTCATGATCAGCCAGAGTTGACTTGGCGCTAAACATCATTTCCATGATTGAGTGTCTTGAACGTTTCTGTGCCCAAGAGGTGCCACTTTGAACTTTTAAAAGAACAGGGCTGAGGCTAGAGCTCAGTTGGTAGAGTGCTTGCCTTGCTTTCACAAGGCCCTGCCTGTGTTTAGTCCCCAGCGTGTGTCTGTCTCTCTCTCTCTCTCTCTCTCTCTCTCTCTCTCTCTCTCTCACACACACACACACACACACACACACACACACTTGATTTTCATACTTTATGAATTACAGATTTAAAACATAGTTTTTCTGAGTTTTGTATGTTTGTCTTGGAGTCAGCTGTGGATTTCTCAGCGACTGAGAGAATGGTCCTTAGCCTTTCATTCCTTTGTTTTCTGACTGCTTTGACTCATTTCTTTCTTGTGTAATTGGTTAAGAATTGGCATTATCTAGCATCCATTCCTCCTTTCTTGATGTGTGGTACTCTTTTACTTTCTTGAAGGGCTGGGACTGGACTTAGGCTCTGGTGCCTGCTGACAAGCGCACTACCACTGAACTACACAGCCCTAGCCCATCTAATAAAATTCTCAAAATTGAAAAGCAGGAACTAGCAGAAAACTAATTAACTTTTATTTATATTTAATCCAAATGAAACAACAATTTAGACTATTGCAGGCATTCTTGAGAGATGGTTCACGTGATTAAAAACTTGGACAGTACCATAGATTAGTTTTGGGGCATGGAATGGTGCAGTTGATTTGCAACATTGGGATTGCTTCCAAATTATTGACAAAATCCTAGCCTTCATTTTCTTAAATCTTTTATACTTGTCCTTTCATGATGACATTTAAGTGAGTCTCAGAATTCTTGACATTTGGTTTGAGTTGTAAAATACTTGTGTATGAATGTGTGTGTGTGTGTGTGTGTGTTCATGTTCTGTACCTTGGTACAGAAAGAGCATATTGTTCCAAGTAGAGATAGCATTAAAGGGTTCCAAGCTTTCTGACTTTTGTGACTTAAGAATAAACACAACTGTAAACCTATGAAGCCTTTTTTAAAAAATATTTTAGTAATTGTTGATGGACTTTTATTTATTTATATGTGGTGCTGAGAATCGAACCCAGTGCCTTACACATGCTGGGCAAGTGTTCTACCACTGAGCCACAACCCCAGCCCCCTAATAGGGGGCTTCATAAGCTTTTGATAACAGAGATATTTGAGTTAGTTTCTACTTGAATAGTTAAGTTCCAATGTTAGACTAGTCAGAATATGTTTGTAGATTTTTACTCTGATAACGTCTGTTATATTTTATGTTCCTTTATTTTTATTTTTTTTTGTGAGTAAAGTTGCACCAAAAGTTTGCCTGATTTATCTTAGATCCCGAATGAGATGTGCATTTTCCTTTTTCTTCTTTCCAGTTGAATTCCTTGATATATAATCAGATAATTTACATATTTTTATAGTGAGTAATAAAAACATCAAACAGCTTAAGATAAATTTAGTCAAATTATATTCTCAGGTTAAAATTTAACAAGGAATGATATGTTTAAGGGTGTTTAGCCTCATTGTTTAAAATTTATCTTTTCCTGGTCTTTATTACATGTTTTGTTTTATAGTACTGAGGCATCAAACCCAAGAGTTTTGCCCTTGCTATACAAGCTCTCTACCCCTGAGGTACATCCCATCCCCTAGAATTTCTCTTTGAAAAACAGCACTGAGGTGCTACTTCATGCTTAGGTATGGTTCTCTGATGTTTAATAGCTTTGTGGAGTGAGCATTTCCAAAGCTTTTAGATATATGAGGCTTGGGTCTGTGTATTTATTAAATAAATGGGGACAATGAATTCAAATGAAAATATATAACTAATATAAAAAGCATGGTCTTGTTTCGTAATGGTAGTTGCTTTTCTTGAAATTATAAAACAGTTCTGCTTTGGGCTTTATTCTTCCCCAGTTGGTCTTTGGAGAATTTGTGCCTTCCTCCAGTCTTCATTAGATGTGGATGGGATCAGGGTTATGATAGGACCAAGATTTATTTACTGAGCACGTTCTAAGATATTTTAGGCATTGTTAAATGACTTGCATATGTCATGTCATACTTGGGCCTCATGATCATTACATAACAGCACTTAGTAGTCCCTGTTTCCCAGAAGAACACGAACACTTAGAGGTAAATTCACCTTGGGCTGGCGGGTTATTGTTTGTTTTTAAACCTACTTTATACTTTGTACGTTGAAAGTGAACGGTTTTCCTATAGCAGTTTTGAGTAACGCCATTTGAGAACTCATTTTATAGCTCAACGGTTTTCCTATAGCAGTTCTGAGTAACGCCATTTGAGAACTCATTTCTTCTTGGATCCTTTACTTAATGACTTAAAAAAAATGTTTTATTGACTTATATAGGTATGTATGCATATATATATATATATATACACACACACACACACACACATATATAAAATAAGAATATAAGTTGAAATGTTAGCTAGTCATGCAAATTTTTCAGATTCATACACACCCAGTTTTTCATCTTCCTATTAGCAGATAAGCCAATATATCATTGCAGAAGAAATTGACTAGATTTCATTTTAAATAACCCTAAGTATTTTCTTTGAAGTAAGTTACTTTACACCTTTGCTAGTGAACGTCCTTTCCTGTCCACTCCCATTCTAGCTTCTGCTTCATACTTTATTGAGGGGGAGTGGCATGCATGTTTTCAGATAGCACCCAACCCAATTTTTGCTCTTTATTTTTCTGAACTCATGTGTCTTTTTAACTAGTGGTTTTTATTAGGAGAAGACTTAGCATTTCCATATGCTTTCTACTGCAAGTCAGAGAAAACGCACCTTTCATACGGCCATGGTGTATGTGCATTTTTACATCTTTTAATGGCCTCCCTTGGATTAACTGTTCCCAGGTTTGTGCATGTTCTCCTGGCATGCAGTTTATTCCATAGCAGTGTGTATGAACTTGATTAGCTATTATCATCATCAGTCTGATTACTTACATGTTCTGCTGAAGAGCCCGTGTGGTGTTTCTGATTTGTAGTGGCCTTTATATTTATAGGATACATTAAAAAGTACAAACTGTATGTAACATGAGACTTCAGTGCATTTTGTTTTAATATTCCTAGGGCTGAAATATTTATAAGAAATGTGAATTTGTGTCCAGCCAGTCTGGGTGAGGAAGAGTACTGCTTGGTGTGCCAGTGCCATCTTTTGGAAACTGGGTGAAGCAGTACCAGCCCACTTGATCACAGGCTGCTGCTACCACCATGGCATATACACGCAGACTTCCAGCAGCAGGGTTGGCCTTGACTTTACACACATTCATCAACAGAAATAGCCCAAACTGTAAATTTTAAACAGGAAGTTTAAAAGGACTCAAATGGTAAAGTTAATTTTTATTTAAGAGAAAATACCTCAGGAAAGAATGGGAATATGGTATAGGAAAGAATTTTAGTTGGATAATATTAAATTATGTGTTGGTTAAGTACCAACCAAAGCTCCATTTGGTGCTATTCTTCATATTTCAAATAATATATAAACCCTCTTCATTATAATATTACTGTAAATAGTGAGAATAGCTTAGGTGTGGTGTTACATGTATTTAACGTTTTAAGAGCAGTGATACAGAAGAGGGGCCAATGAACAGGTATATACCTCTAATACTTGGAAATTCTGATAGTGCCTTTCGTCTACAGATAAATTTCTTATTGATGATAGTAATATTTATTACGAGGGCCGTCCTTAGGCTTTTAGCCGAATGAGTACAAGAAGGGACAGACAATTGAGGAACTGATGTTTGTTTTTATATGCAGCTTGGGGAAAATGCTTAAAATTTTTTTATTGGTGTTGTTGCTTTTTGTATTAACTATAGATTTGTAATTGTAGTTTGTATTGATAGGAATGAACCAAAAAAGATGTGAAAAGTTACTGATTGGTTCTTAGTAAGGCTGTTGGTGTGCTTTGTACTTCTCCATTTTAAAAGATTCTTTAGTGTACTTAACACTGAGTAGATTTGCAAAAGAGATTTCAGAATATTGTCAGAAACTCTGAGAAATTTCTTCTACCAGTGACAAGTGAATTTAATGTTAATAATACCAATTATTAATATTAATAAATTAATACTAAATATTGTTACATTTCTGTATTTCTAGTTGCTTCTAGATATTTTTGATATCAGGAAAATAGTTAATCTTTTACTTTGTACCCTTTCCTCTGGCTCAGGTTTGAATGCTAATTGAGTGAAAAGACTGATTCTTGGACTTAACCTGATAACTGATACATTGTTTTCCTGTGAATAACATTTTTCAAAATTTATTATAAATTAAATATACAGAGAACATAAAAAATGATGCTAAGAATATGAGAACCGAGTATAGTTTATGCAGTTAGAAAATAAACACTTTTATTTTTTAAATATATGTGGTACGGTGAAAAAGATGTAGGACTGGACATGAGGGCAGCTAGATTTGAGTCCTACCATTACTTCTCACTAGCTGCTTTACCTTGATGGGGAATCCTTGGTCAAACTGCCTGGGAGAAGTAAATGACATCGTGAATGTTGATTATTCATTTGAGGCTTTTGTGGTTTTTTCCCCCAAAGAGAATGAATAGATGTGTGTGGCAAATACTGAAGTCCAGAGATGTGTGTTTGTACTTTATAGCCCTATCTGTCATTTTTTGTCCTCACCATTCTGCTGTTCAGTTGTAATTCTGATGAATACTGGAAGTAAATGTGAGCTCAAACTTGATATTTATAAAATGATTCTGGCTCCATGTTATGTCAGTTTTGTATTTGCTGTGATCAAGTGAAAAATGTATTGTGAAAGCATTTAGTGGTTAACTGTGGTTCTTAACAAAATCCTGAGTATGTTTGTGTATACTTTAAGCGATTAAACGTGTAGGAAAAATTTATATAAGCTTGTAACATTGAGCAGAATCATATTTAAAATACTTTTTCATTGGAATGATGTGTTTTATTAGTCTGTCTAGTATTAAATCATTGATACTTTTTTCAAACTTCGTATGCAGGGGAATGAGGAAAAGTTTCTGTATGTAAATGCATTGTAACTTGATTTTGTATTACGTCTCACCTTAAAGTATAGAACAGGTGTGCTTATTGTTTACTTATAAATGACTCATCCTTTCATTTCCCTTTGTAGCTTAACATGAGTGACTCAAAGTTTTAGCTACCGAAATAAGTATCCTTGTTTTCTTGGTAACTGATGACCTCAATCTATAAAATTATATTCTTTTGCAGTATCCCTTTTACTATTCAGCGACTATGTGAATTGCTAACAGATCCAAGGAGAAACTATACAGGAACAGACAAATTTCTCAGAGGAGTAGAAAAGGTATTTATTTTAATTATGGGAATTATGTTAAACTGAAGCCTAATAGATTTCAGAAAAGAACATTGGGTAAGATCTTTTTCAGGCACCTTTTCTTCAGAGTTTTCTAGTCTATCTTGAGTTTTTTCCAAATTTTTTTTTTCCAAATGATATTCTGTGTTTGGGAAAAGATCTATGGGAAGGGGCAGAGGAGGACCTGAAGTGCTGATTTTTTAGGAATGGAAAGAGCAGCTTATTATCTTAGATATTCATTGTATGTATTAACATATTAATGTTCTGAAAAGCTCCACAGATGATATGTAACTTTTTGGAGGCAGGTAGGTATCAAAGATTGAACTAGGGGTCACTTGATTACTGAGCCACATCCCCAGCCCTATTTTATATTTTATTAGAGACAGGGTCTCACTGAGTTGCTTAGCACCTCACTAAGTTGCTGGGGCTGGCTTTGAACTCAAAATCCTCCTAAATCAGCTTCCCAAACTGCTGGGATTACAGGTGTGCACCACTGCTTCCAGCTGGAGATTAGGTATTTAGCTTTTCTCCATTTACTATGATGTTGGCTTTTGGTTTGTCACAAATGACCTTTAAGATGTTGAGGTGGCTTTGAACTCAAGATCCCCTTGCCTCAGCCCCCCAAGCCATTGGGATTACAGATGTACGCCACCGCGTCCCACTCTTAATATATAACTTTAATGTTAGAGTACTCTGTTTCACAAGTTGTAGAATTGTAATTTGGTGGTAGAAATCTTTGAAAGTAAGTATTGAGTAGAGAGAGGGGCAGAATCAATGTATTTGACCCTGGAAATCGTAATCCAGAACCAGTATAGTGGCTTGTAATAGTTCTTAGGACCTTTATTGAGCTAATGTTTTGTGGAACCTTTACGCCCTCAATTGAGTAAGATTCCCAAACGGCAGGAAACCACAGTGGTTCATAAGTACTTATTTTTCCAACTCAAGGGCCTTTAGTAATTACATTTTTAGATTTCTGAATGAAGAGACAAGATGTCACAGTAACCTTACGGGGTGGGTGGTGCCCTGCCTTCACATTAAGGCTGCAGTAGTTCATAATTGTGTGACCTTGGGCGAGTTACTTCACTTTCTTGGTTTTCTCCTTTGTGATATTTGGATTATAGGGCTGAGAAGCACTTACTCTTTTAAGCATATTGCCCAAAAAAGAGAGGTTCAGGTTTCTTTCCTTGGGATATATTGATGGCTGGGTGTGGTGGCTCATGTGTATGATTCCAGCAAATTGGCAGTTGAGGCAGAAGGATCTCAAGTTCCAGGCCAGCCTTAGCAACTTAGTGTCACTCTGGCTCAAAGTAAAAAAAAAAAAAAATATATATATCTATATATGTATATATAAATATATATGGACTGGGGGTGTAGTTCAGTGGTTAGTTGACCTTGGGTTCCATCCTCGGGACCACAAAAGTAAGTACAAAAAAAAAAAAAAAAACAGCAATGAAAAAAAGTGACTCTGGATTGGGTATTGCTTTATGAGGAAAGTCATTACACGTGCCCTAAGTAGGTGGCTCGAGTGTCTTCAGAAGAGAGCAAGACTAGTTTCTTGTTATCAGTTTTCATTTTTAACCATTTATTGTCTTTTATTAGCAAACTGGAATTATTGGAAACAGCCCACTAAGAGTGATTTTGAGAAGTTAGAAACAAATTATTAAACCTTTATATTGTATTTCTTTTCTCTCATTAAATCAACAATTTTTGTTATTGCAGAATGTGATGGTTGTTAGCTGTGTTTATCCTTCTTCAGAGTAAGTATAGTTTTTTTCTAATTTTAATGTTATTTATTATGTTTTAATACATAATTAAAATACTGACTTTTTTTATTATGAACCTCTCACCCAGTCCCCAGAGTAGACTGTGACCAATAATATTACGTATATGTTTTACGAGTAAAGAGATGGGCGGTCTTCTGTGATTCTCATATTGCTGATGTTATGTGGTGTCCTGGCACCAGAGCCCCTTGATGCCCTTGTAGGGCATGACTCCTAGGTTTGAAGCAGACACTGGATGGCATTCCTCTTCAGGTGAAGAAGAATTTGTTGTTGTTGCCATTCATACCCTGAAGCAAAGACTTGGTTTAGGGTACATTTCCTCAACCTTGGCATTACTGAGCTTGGGACCAGATAGTTTTAGTTATACATAGGTGTCCTGAGAACTGCAGGTTTAAGTATCTCTGGTCTCTGTCCACTGAGGCCAGAAGTGTCCATGCTTCCCACACCAACACCTGTGGTGGTGGGGGAGGGTGGCCCCCACTGAGGACCATTGGTTCGACCTCAGCTGCTTCTGCTTTCTTGGGTGGCAACTGTGTGAAGTCTCCTTCACTGTTAGCAGGATCCCTGCATTCATCAGTGTGTGTTTATATTGGTTCCCACAGAAGTCTGGGTGTGTGGCAGTTAAAAACCTACAAGACCTTTCAGACCCAGAGTTCTTATAAAAAATTTTTTTTTTCTTGTAGGAAAAACAATTCAAATAGTTTAAATCGAATGAATGGTGTTATGTTCCCTGGAAATTCACCAAGCTACACTGATAGGTGAGACTAGCAATTTTTGTATACTTGAGCTTGCATTTTCCTGAATTTGAATAGCAGACTCTGTGTACTTTTTAAAATTGGATGTTTTATGGAGGATATAGAATGTGCTTCACTGAATTTGTTAAAGCAGAAACTTATGTGATGTGTTCTTATGAATGTCCTTTGGGAGGGGGATGGCTTTTTACAAAAGGGGGAAATGATGGTGGTGTGTCTTACAGGTCTAATATAAATGGGCCTGGAACACCCCGGCCACTGAACCGACCAAAGGTGTCTTTATCCGCCCCCTTGACAACCAACGGTTTGCCTGAGAGCAGTGACAGCAAAGAGTCAAACTCACCACATAATGAAGAAAGAAACCACAGGTTTGTGTGTGTTCTATGTTTAAAAACAGATGGTTGTTTTCACCAGACATTAACGTTTATTGATGGTTTTCAGGACCCAGTTACCATTCACAGTGTACAGTCGGCTTTTCCCACCTGTGGGCTCCACATTTGTGGATCCAGCCAACCAAGGATCAAGACTATTTGGGAGGGCTGGGGTTGTGGCTCAGAGGAAGAGTACTTGCCTAGCATGTGTGGGGCACTGGGTTCGATCCTCAGCACCACATAAAAATAAAGGTATTGTGGCCACCTTCAACTAAAAAATAAAAATATTTTTTAAAAGAATATTTGGGAAATTAAACAGTATGTCAGTAGTAAGCATGTGTAGACTCTCTCCCCTTCCTGTTCTCTAGACAGTAGAGCAGAACACGTGTTACCTGGACTCGCACTGTGTCAGAGTTGCGAGTGACTGGAGCTGTCGGGAGCCCTGGGAGGACATGTGTGGTGCTGTGCAGACAGGTGTGCCATGTTGAGCCAGGGCTCCGCAGACACCGAGGGCAGGCAGGGTTGCAGTTTTGTGGTAGGATCTTTGGCTCTCTTTAACACAGCGTAAGGTAGACAAAAGACTTATTAAAACAGCTGATTTGGGAGAGATTATCGAATGTAGGTTCTGTCCCAAGAAAGTCAAAGTAGTCATGATACAGGTTTTGTCTTTTTTTCAAAAGTTACTTGAGAAAAGAAATTGAAATTCTGAGTAGTTTCTTAGTATAGGTTATGAAAGGGAACTTTTTATTTTACTTCAGAGTTTCTCTGTCACATCAAGGGAAAAAGAAGACTAAGTGAGAGGACTTGAGTGTGTAAATCTGGGGGACCTCTAGTTTCAGTTTAACAGTGTTTAACTTACTGGGAAATGCCCAGAAAAGTGGCACTAACTTGGTGACTCGGCACTAATGAGAAACATTCATGGAACAGTTTAGGTTGCGTTGAAATTATTCTCTGATGTTTTTCTTCAAACAGATATGACAGTGTAACTTTGGCACTAAAATACAATTTAAAAGAATGTAGAAGTTGAGGAAAATAGTATTAATGACACTTTAAAACAACATTTTCAGTGACTCTGCAGCATCTGAATCAGAAGGGTCTTCAGTGAGTCCTATAAAAAACAAACATTCAGATGACGACGCCGTGGAGGCTGAAGAGCACGAGGCCAAAAGACTCAGGTTTGACAGAGACGGGGAAGTCAGAGAGACAGCCAGTCAGACCTCGTCCAGTGAGGGGGCCTCGGTCCTGGCGGAGGACACAGAGGCACCATCATCATCTCAGGACAAGGACAAAGAAAGTAGTTGTACCCAGCAGCACTGCACAGAAGAGGAGGAAGAGGAGGAGGAGGAAGAAGAAGGTATTTAGAGACATCTGTAGAAGGGTGTGCTTTCTTGTTTTTCTGAAAGAATTTAACATAATGGAACTCCTTACAGTGCTGATGTTGGCCCCTGTGTGTACTTGCTGCTGAGTTTGAGGGGAAATTATTTGACTGTAGAATATCAGAATTCATGACACGTGACTGTGGAGGTATTTTGAAAATACATTTAACTACAACAACATTTGCTTATTTTTAGAGTCTTTTATGACATCGAGAGAAATAATCCCAGAAAGAAAAAATCAAGAAAAAGAACCTGATGATGCCTTAACTGTGAACGAGGAGACCTCTGAGGAGAAGAGTCAGGTGGAGGAATCGGCTGTGTCTCGAGCTGAGAAGGATTTACATTCTGAAGGGAGTGACACCCCGGGCCCTGTAAGTAGTGGTTCTGACTGCCACCAGACAGAAGAATCAGTAGGATCCAGTTCCAGTAAAACTGGAGAGGTTCTCTCAGAATCCTCCATGGAAAATGACGAGGACGCCACCGAAGTCCCCGAGGAACCAATGGAGCAAGACTGACTACTTCACCACATTTAGATGCCGTATTTTACATACAGTTCTGGTTTTACACTGTATAAAACTTTTATGTAATAAAGTGGACCTTTAGTTTTACAAGAGAAAGAGAAGCAGTTGTTAAAGTACTTTAAAAAGTACTTTAAGTGTGAATCCTGAAAGAGTTGTACATGTAAGAACTGTGAATAGCAGCTCCTCTGGGTCCTGCTTACCGCTATCTATTTTTTTTTTTTTGTTTTTGTTTTTGGGGATTTTGTTGTTGTTGTTTTTGCCTTTTTTTTTTTTTCCCTCTTTCCTTTTTTCTTTCTTTTTTTTTTTTTTTTTTTT